AAGAAAGAAAGAAAGAAAGAAAGAAAGAAAGAAAGAAAGAAAGAAAGAAAGAAAGACCCATAACTTCATTTTTCCAAGACATAATGTAATGAAATTTGTGAAATATGGATCCTATGGTGCACCAAATGGAGGAAGAGTTGTACCAAAGGGATGATGACTTGCGAGGTGGCCCAGATAAGAACCATGCCCAGATGAACTAATTCTACTTTATTGTAAGGTTACATTAACAGAATCTTGCAAGTCAAAACAGAATCTTGCAACTCCTCCATTGCCTTTAAGCCCAAGAAACTAGGGAGGGTCTTTTCTGAGATGTTTGCCATGCCCACATTCCTTTTGCGGGATACGCTGCCTCTTATCTGACCATTCCCCTGGCTATGGCTCTTCTCCTTGTCTCCCAAGGTCATTCCCACATACCGTTACACATAGAAAACACTGTCTAGGGGGTTTGGCTTGAGCCGAAATTAAATGTTGGTAATAACAGTGGTTGGCTTCTGCCAGCAATGCAACATTGGGAAGAACTGTATGAAAGGAATTCATATTGTTTATAGATAGGTCCTTCCTATATTTCCATTATAGTTCACAATCATGAGTTTTAATGTTCTGTAAGTCCAGAGACAGCCATGGACAACAACTTTTTCAAATGGAATTTTGTCTTGTGACTGACCTGCCTTTTTCAATTAACACTTGAAAGAGAGCTGCTTAGACAAGCTAGCTCTTCCTATTTCCTTTTGCAAGCTGTGAGATAAACTTCTAGCTCTAACCCCAATCAGTTCATAATTTCCCTCTTTTGTTGTAGCAGGTGCCCAGTGTCTCCTGGACACTTAATCCTCATTAATACCTAACCTTTCTTTGCTGATGCCTAAACGGAGCAACTGTCAGAAAAGAACTTGTCAAAAGTTGGAGACAAAGAATCAACCACAGGTCAGTGAGCAAAATTAAAGGCCAAAGGGAACACTTCAGGAGATTCATATTCAGATGAAATCAGAATATGAGAAGAAAGAAGAGACAATCCAATATCAGACAATGAAACTAACGGACACAGAATGGATCAGTCTGGTCAAAAATGTTGGATACGTTTTAGGTGAAAGAGGAACAACTTGTAGAATAAAGTTTACAATGAAATTATCAGATTGGGTAATAAGTTCCAAAATTCAGGTTGCAAATCATTAACACAATTTAAAAAAAAAATAGATGTTATCATGAGAAAGATAAGATCAAAGAAAGTTAACAGGGAATGAACTTAATTATGAAAATTAGAAGCTCTTTGGAAATACCAAGAACAAATACTAGAAAAGACAAGGGACACAAAGAAAGTTTCTTAACATCTTAACTGTTAGAGTCAGATTGATTATATATAACTGTAATTAATAAATGCAGTGGAAATGTTATTAAGGAATATTTGTAGCTGCTGAAGGTATAAACAGAAACAGGCCAGGTTAAGTAATAAAGCTAGGACACCACCCTATCCTGAGATAACAGGAGCTTGGAATTTGTCTTGGGAACAGGTTGCAACAAAGATCAAATCATCAGGCTTTCTCAAGTTTCTGTGATAGCTGCAAAGATAACCCATTGATCAAATACATAATCAGATAAGAACTAAGCCTTCAAAGTGATTTTGCAGGCATTCCACAATAAACAATTAAAAGTGTTTTGTCAGATAGATTTTAAAAAAAAGTGTATTAAAGCATTCTGCAAAATAGTGGAAAACCACGCAACCAACTTCCTTGAGTTATCAACCAGGGGGTGATCTAATAAGCATAAAACAGATACACAAACCAACCACACAACAATCATGTAGAATTAATGAAGGAACCAATGTACAGGTAATCCCCAATTTAAGAACAAGTGTCTTTCCCAAGGTCCGTCCTTAAGTCGAATTTCTGCGTAAGCCAGAACAGTATTATTGTATAATACTGTATAAGTAGTATTGTGTAATGAACTCAAACCATTGTGTATTTAACTTGAATTACTGTGTATTAAACTCGAATGTTA